GTTTTTCCTTGCCTCAACACTTCTTCTTTGGCTTTCATAATACTACCTTCACTGATATCTTCTGATCTCTCCAGCTGCTGCTGTTTTTCACTATCATTGTCCTGATTATCAAAATAATTAAAATAAGAGCTAACATCAATTGATGCTTATTGCATGCTACAGCTATGGTAACTTTTCCAGAGGCTGTTCTATAAAGTGAGTGCTATAATTGCCCCAATTAGAGGTGAAGAGACCAAAGTTCAGAGAGGGCATATACCTTGGTGAGAGACATATGGCCAGACTTGTCTGATTCTAAAGAATATTGTCTCAATAAAAACAATGTGCCTCTTAATTTTCTTTACAGGTTCTTTTCCTCTATTCTTCTCTTTACATTAGAAGTTTCTTGGAGGTCTGTCCTGGGCCCAATTCTCTTCTGTCTACTTTCTGGGGGGAACCTCATCCACTTGTCTTTAAGAACTATCCATGGAGCTTCACTGCCCCATTGCTATCTCCAGCCTGTATTCCTCTCCTGAACTTCAGACCTTTGTCTCCACTGAAGAGTAATGCACCATGTCTCAAACATGACATACCATGAAGGGAACCATTTTTCTTTCCCTCAAACATGCCCTTCTTTGCAGGCTTCCCTCCTTAGTAAAATCATACAACCATCCAGCCACCAACTGGCCCAAGTTAGAAAACTCAGTGTCATCTTTTCCAACTCTCATTCATCTTCCCTAACATGGTTTCCAAAGTCCTTCGAGTCTTGGGGCCTGCTTCTCTTTGTAACTTCATTTCTTCTAACTTGGTCTTCACCTACTATGATCACTGCATTGCAGTCCCTGGAGTGATCGAAGTTCACTTGCTTGGTTGCCTGGCTCTCCTGTCTCTAGGTCTTCTGTAAATTGTGTCTCTAACTGCAATGTTCCCTCCTTGTTCAAACTTACTGTGTAATGTCATTTCTTTGGGGAATATTTCCCCAAGACAGATTAAGTCCTCCTGATGGCCTCAGGCCTGAAGGCACCTTATTTCTCCCAAGAATAATCTGTCATACTTCACATCAATTACTTGTCAACAGTTGATATAGTCTTGTCTGTTGTGGTATGTTGAGTATCTAGTGCCTTGTACATGAAAGACTCCCAAAATATGTTGAATGAATAAACTACAAAATAGAGTTAATTATAACTACTTGTTCATCATAGTGAACAATCATGGAAATTACATGAGATAATATGTATATTTATACTTCATAAACCATGAAATTGTAGAACAAACCCTCATATGCATAAAAATTATGCATGATTGGTCTCCCCTACTTTTCCAGATTCCTCATCCTCTTTTTGAACTCGCTATTTCCTCACTAGCCAAGAGCCCATGATATATCAAAAAGGCTCAGCAAGTGACTCCAGCTGAGATTCAGTCCATGCTGTCTAACTCTGAGACTCCTTTCTAATAAAGGACCTACTTAGATAGGTTGTCTCCTGTATTTTCTCTATTAGTTCCATCCTCAACTTGACTCAGTCAGCAGCTGTCAAAACCCTATCCTTATCCTTCCACACATACACCTCTTCTGTGGTCCAGTCCAATTTGGTTCTTTAGTCTGATTCTATCTTCAAATCCAATAGGACTTTAAGCAGCTGCCTTTGTGCTAAGGGTAATCATCTCTATTCCTACCACCACCCTGGGTCTCTAGTTATAGAAACTTTTGGACAGAAAACATTCTGAGGTAAGGTCCTCTTGGTCATAAAGAAGCTGATTTGGAAAATGATAGACTATTGATAGATTTTTAAAGCAAGCCCTCAATTGGTGGATTACTGATTGAGAAAAGTTACCATGGATATGAGAAAAAGAGAGAGAAAAACAAGGAGCTTATGTAAAGCTGAAAGAGTTATTGGGTGGGTAGAAGAAGGTAACATGATGTAGTCTCTCAACACAGGCTCAAAACTTTATGTCTCTCTTCTCCATTCTGCTTTTACTACCTTCTGACTCCTGTGTACAGAGCCTCTTTCTACCATGCACTTCCCATGCAGGGCCAAGGAGGATTGCTCATACCACAACACCTCTCTTGGTTTCTCCTATGCAGTTTGAGGACATGACAGCACTGTCACAATGTGTATGTTTAAGTCTGAGTTTTAAACTCAACACAGATGAAAAGGAGGGGGCTCAAGAAGATGAAAAAGGTAGCAGGCAGGCACATTTTCTAATTTTTCAAGTTCCTAGTCCTGGAGCCTGAGTTTTTCATTCCCCCAAATCCCTGCATAACAACTAGGTAGGATGATGAGCAATGGCACCTTGGAAAGCAGCTAGTCTAACAGTATTAGAGAGATAATGTAATTTTAGGACTGGAGGGGACCTCAGACCTGATTTAGTCCTAGACTCTCATGTTAAGATTAGAACAGTGGAGCCCAGGGATGTTTTGTGACTTGCTCAAGTCACATAGGGAGTTTGGCCTACAGCTTACCCCTTGGGTATCCCAGGCACACTCCAGACTTGAGAGGCAACAACAAGATCTGTGCAGAAAACCAGAGGGAGATGGTGATAAAGGAAGAGAGGCTGCAGGTGCTGGAGGAAAAGAAGCCAGAAAGGATGACAGAGGAAAATGCTAAAGAAGCACAATTTCAAACTGAGTGGTCAAGCTTGAGACATCCGGGTGCCATGAGAGGTACCAGATGGGCCTGAGATGGGCAGCAATCAGGAACCAGGATTCACTGGGAGTCAAAGCAACCGGAAGGAGCTGAGTCAAAGAGGCTAATTTGCAAACAGCACAGGGCACTGCATTTAGTAGCTACAGCTGCAAATCGAAGGACAGTGTTTAGATTTATGGATGTGTAGAGAGGACTTTTGGTCAGCATCAGTCACCTCACCCAGGCTTGTGAATCACAGCCAAATCTAGATGAATTATATTATTGACCATGATAATGGGACGATGAATTGTGGCTGTGATTGCCTGTACCACAATCAACCTTCAGGATGGCTAGAAATTCTGATCTGCCTAGCCCTTGGCCCAGATAGTGATGTCCCAGAGACAGCCATCACTGTGAACAGAAGCAACTTCAAAGACAAAGGCCACAATGCACACCCCTGTGATCTAAGTACCCACTTTGTAATGGCTCAGAGCTCAGGTTAATACAGAACTTTGGGTGGCTGCAGGAGGCAGTGGGGAGAGCAGAGGGCTGGAGAATGAAGCAAACCAAGTTGACTATTTTCATCTCATGGATCCAGAGCCATCAGTGGGGCTGTAGCAAAGCATTTATGTGACTGATACTAAAATGACAAACCTCTAAATAATTTTACTGCCAGTATATTCAGAAAATTTTGTCACAGATCTCGGGTAAGTGACAACTTTGCTGTGTCAGGCTAAACCAACACAATGCAAAAACATCTGGATGAAAATGAAATGCCTCTGTCAGTTGTCTGGGTGTTTTGTCTACCTGACATCAAACAGCTGGATTCTTGTAAACATTTGGATGACATATTAAAGTTTTCATTTTTCATTCAGATCACAAAATCATACTCTCCAGCTTGGCAGGAACTTAAAGGTCATCTAATCTCTGATATTTGGCATATCCTCAAGTGACCTATTTGTATTATCATGCAAATCAAATGCTAAAATGTGAGTATGTGTTCTGTCTAATTATACACATTGTATCTTATTTAACACATGTTTATCTTAACATTTTGTTCTCCTTGGTGTTTAATTGAATTGTAAATGAATCATTTACAGGGTAAACTAGATTATTATATGTATGAAAATACAACGAAATCCTGTAATTAGGGAAGACGATTTATCAAAAAAAAAAAAAAGCTGCAGGTGCATAAAAGTATGTGAACCTTGGGGCTGTTTGAACAGAGGCTGTGAGTTTCCTTCTTCACTCATAATGCTACCTGCTATTTTGTGGGGAGAGGGGCTCACAAAGAAGTTTGCTTTGGCTCTTTTTCACTTCCTTTCTTAGGCTGGCACTTAACAAGCTCACGCCAGGTGTCTGTTCCGAGACAGAGACTGAAGCAAAGTAAGGGCACAGGACTGTGAAATTCATTAACTCCAGAGATCTGTTGCAGCGTCTGAATCTTTCTCATCCAGATGGCCAAGGCTTCATCCCACCCCATCCCCCTCCACATTCAGAGTCCCTTTAACAGCACTCCCTCAAATGCAGCTCCACAGAGGAGATGTGCAGTGGAAGCTTTCTCTCCACAGTTTCAGCTCATGGTCTAAAGTATGTGTTCAATTTCCCTGAAAGACTGTTTGGAGTTTTTCATTTTTCTTTTGCAAGTTGCTCATTGAGCTATTGTCTCATTTATACTGGTAGGCAGCCTAGAAATGGGTACAGCCAAATTAAGACATAGGAGCAAGTGGGGAATATTTTCCAAAACTAAATAATGCATGTATGCTCTTTTTTTTTTAAATGATAGTCTGAGGAAGAAAATGAAGTTGGAGGGTCCAAAAAAAAGGAAGAAAGGATGAAATGAAGTGGTGAGTCAGTGAGGTGGGGAGATCTAGGAAGACCGTTCTGAATGGCAGGAGAGGTAGATAAGGAGGTTCTTCTATTCACAGTGATGAAAGCTTATAATGGGATGGAGTGGAGGTGATAGCAAATCAATCACCCAACAGCATCTGCTATGTGCCCACTGTGTGCAGAGTATTCTTAGTATTAACAACTGCAAGGAACTAGCAATGCTGTAAAAAGAGCCTCCAAGAGGAGCCTACAAACTAGTGGAGACCAGTGCAGAAAAACAAGGAAAATAGAATAATATTAGATAATGAAGATAAGTGTAACCCATGCAGTCATCCGGATAACCATGTGGACAAAAAAATAATTCAAGCAATGTAGATAGTATAGGTTTAACACATGTATGTCAGAGTTAACATTTATTGAGTGCTTTGTATGCAGCAGACATTGCATTAAGTGCTTTATACATGTTACATTTTATATATGGGTTATGTGGACAAACCTAGGAGGTCTAAGCATCGAGTAATATGCCTGTTCATTTTGGTATGAAATAAATTAAAGGGTATGAGGTGAAGATGTAAGAACTCACTCTTGCATTCAAGAATGTGACATAACTTAGTTGTAATTATTCACCTTTAAAGGATGGGACATGGGTTAAATTGTAATTTTCTCAGATATGAAATTGTCTTATGGTAGGCAACGATTCTCTGATAGTTTTGGAAGAAAACATCTCACTACCTACTGTCTACCATCAATACACCTTCATTATTCTGTGTATTTCATTGAGGTTGTCCCCAGCCTTTAATGCCTTGTTGGGAGGATAACATAAACTCATGTTTAACAAAGAATTTGAAGGCTTGAAAGTACAATTCTTGATTTTGGAGAAATGTGGAAGTAACTCACTGAGTAACTGTGAATCCTCTAAGATCTCTTCTTAACTTGGTTCTAGGTAGGAGAAAAAAGGTGTGTGTGGGGGTTTGCCCCCACAGTTCCATTAGAGCTGTGCCCTTGTGTTGCGATCCATTCTCCTGGAGAGAAACCTCTAGGTATTATTCAGGGGACTAGAAATTTATAAAATGTGTTTTGAATGAGTCAATCTTTCCTCAGAGTCCTCTTTAAAGAAAAACTAGCCTCCTACCCTCCAATGCCTGGTATGCTGAAGAGAGAGGACTCTGGCAGTTCCTCAAAGGAGGCTGGCCATTTCTGTCCCACAAAAGCTTGCTCCCTGCCCTCAGAATGATGCATAGTCACCCCGTCATCTGAAGCAGCCCATCTGAATTTGGCAAGTATTCTAGGAGTAAACAAAGTTCTGCAGGCAATAAAAGTCATAGTTAAATCAGACAATAAGGTTCTCTGGGGAATTTCCACTGGGAGACTCCAAAAGCAGAATGGATCCGTATCATGAAGAACACCCAGAAGGTGAACACTGAGCAAAAGCGTGAGAGAACTGTCCAGTCGTGCTCATACTGAGCAGTGCAGAGATGAAAGACCCCTCCGAGGGATAGAGCCATCCAGCGTGCACAGGTTGCTAGCTGCTCCTGAAGTAGTCTGAGGTGATTCCATAGCTAGAAAACAAAAAGTTCTACTGTCAACATCGATAGAACCCTTAGGGGTCATCTATTCCGTGCTACTCAGAGCATGGTCAAGGACCAGTGGAATCCACCACAGTGCCTGTATGCGGGTGCCAAGTACACAAGCTGAGAGTAAGCATTTGGAAATTTTTAAACAGGAGTTTGACCTTACCCCAGCACCTAAATTTATGACTCTTGAATCTAATAATAAGTTGGGTTTGTGTTTTGTAAGTCTGTGGATTCATTTTCACTTTTCCTGTCTAGTGGTTTATTTTTATTGTTTTTCAAATGTATCAACCAGTATATAAAGGACTAGAAATTGTAAACTATTTAAAAACTGACCCTTCACAACAGATAGATTGAGGAGCACTAGTCTACTCCCTATTTCCAAGCTTGAACCCTTAATCCTTTAGTGGGTAGCAACTCATTAATAAGTTGTAAAATTAATTTGTGTGTATACCAACAGTAAAAAAATGTAACAGAAAATATCAGGGTGCATTGCATGTAATAAAGATGAGCACTGTTTTGTGAAACTTACATTTTAAAAAGTGTATGTAAACACACATGTGTTAATATACTCACTTGTGTATATTTGTATACACAGCAAAATAAGGAAACTGAGATCCCCGTGTTTTATTTGTAGAAGTTACCTCTGCTTTTCTAGCAGATATAGGTAAAAAACAAGTATGTCTTTGGAAAACTATGTGTTGTCTAGAGCACTCTTTCCAGAGTTATCTGCTGTGGCTTCCATGGGAGTGGTTTCACAGTTCTGTAAATTGTAGATAACTGATAGCATTGTGAGGTAATTCTTGTCTATAGATATGCAAATTGTATCCCTTTTGGTAGGAGTTTAATCGACTTTCATACCCCCTGTGAAAGAAGCCAATTTTGCCTTTTTCTGCATGTTTTTTGAACCATTTATAGCAGGTCATGGGAGGGGTTTCATGCGTCAAGTTGTGGGGTTTGTTCAAACTTAGATCAGGTGTCATTAAATGAGTCCCTTGGCAGGAAAGCAAGCCTGGACCCCTAAAGGTTGAGGGGTTTCTTTCTGGGTTAAATTTCTGCTGCTGATCCTAAAGGAATTAAAAGGGGGTAGGGAGAATTTCACTGTAAAAGATCACATGCCAGAAATTATTTTAATTGATAATTCATAATATCACTCCCACACTTTGTTTCTATATTTGAAAAAGTCCATGTCTCTTCCTACTGTTCAGAAAAATCTGAAGATACAAATGAATATGGACTAAGCAAATTAGAAGTACAAGGTCTTAGACATAGCAAGAAAGAATACCTGCCTGAGAATCAAAAACCTAGGCTCTAGTCCCACCTTGATCCCTAAGTTTAATTAGCTGTATGATCTTAACCCAGTTACTTAACATCTCTGGGCCTCAAATTCTTTATCTGTACATTAATCTTAAGTCAATTATTTTCATCTACCTTTCTTCCTTTTTTTTTTTTCAAAAGAAAGCTTGCACACAGTCCCAATTTGCAAAGGAAGACAGCCATTCTGGTTTAATAGGGTGTCTCCATGGTTTCAACTCCCCACTAAGATGGCCTCTAATTATAAGGACCCCTTAGAACTCTGAGGATTTTATGATAGCACATCTGAGAGGCAGACAACGCAAGGGTACTAAAACTCCTTAAGCTAGGATGTTATAGTCAATTATTTTGCCTGGGTTAAGAGTATTAAAAACTCCTTTACAAACTGTTCCACCCTTTCCTTCCTTGCCCCATCCCCACCATACTGACTGTCTCCAGTTTTAGCTCTCTCTGATCTTTAGAGTTCTAGTTCCCAACCTCAGTTCCTTAAATTTCTGGGATCCACCCTAGAGCTTCAGCTCAAAACCAACCCATTGTATTCTAATGAGCTTCTTAATTATCTGCTTTCTCCACTAGGCTGAATTCCCTGAGAGAGGATTCTTCCTCTTACCTTCATTCCCATGCCCTCTTCTCTGTTCTCAGCCCACAATACCTGCATTCTCTCCTGTACCCTTTCTGTGTATTTCTGACTCATGGTTTTCCTGAATTTCCAGTTCCCATATACAACTACTTACCAGACAACCCACTTTAGGTATCTCTTAGGCTTTTCAAAAGCAACATGTCCAAGACTGACCATAGCTTCTATTCAGGATTCTGGCATCTTCCTGAAGTCTCCTCATCATGGAGGATGCTGCAATCTACCTGCTGCCCAAGCCAGAAATTTTGACACTTCTTTCCTTCATTTCCATATCAATCAGTTGTCATGTGCCTTTCACTCCTCTTGCCATGATTCTTAAATCCATCTACATTTTTCCTTTTCCATGACTGTCATTCAAATTCAGATCACAGAGAGCATCCTTTTGGTGTTACTTCCAGGATGCCATATGTTACCAAAAAATAAAATCCTCTTCACTCATTAGATTCGTGTTCATACCTACTCTAGTTACCTACTGGTGGTAGGTACTGTTTAGTGGCCCCATTTTACAGTTAAGGAAATTGAAGTTCAGAGAGAATAAATAATTTGGCCAAGCTGGTAAGTCTTGGAGCTGACACTTAAAAGCTCCTGTTTATTTAATGTCAGGACTCTAGATTTAACCATTATGTCACAATTGAAATGTTGATTAGTGTTTTGTCCTTATCATCGACCTTGCCCTTTAAGTTCTTTCTCCCCATTGCATTCCAGGCTTGGGTTGTGCTGGATTGGGTTTGGTTTGGTTTGGTTTCTAAGTAGAAGTCTTATTATCCACTTAAAACCCTTGATTATTTTTCCCTTCCCTGATGATACAGTACAAACTTACTAAGAGCTCACTAGGCTTTCCATAATCTTTACTACATTATCCTGGCTGGTCTCGTTTCTTGCCACTGTTGCTTTAGCTTCAGTCACACTGAACTACTTGCAACTTGGGGGCATACTGCTCAGTACCACTTATTGATGCTTCAGTCCCTTCTTTTTCCCCTGCCTGGCAAATTCTTTCCTGTACCTCATTCTCTAGCTATTGGTCACACTTCACTTCTCAGCTCAAAATTTTTTTACTCTAAGGAGCACACAGTGGACCACTCCTGTTCCCAGACCATTTGCGTTTTCTGATGATACCTCTATTACCCTATGGTGCTTATGTATGTGTCCATACTCAGAATAACGGGGAGGGGCAGCTTCTGATTTACTCAGCATTGCCCACTGTCTTAACTTGTGTTCCTAAAGGCAAACTCTGAGATGGGGATTCTTACATTAGTGATTTATGAAAGGAGCACTCTTAAATGAAACTAGTAGAAGTAAGGAACAAGGGTTGGGCACAAGGTCTAACCTCAATCTAATCTTAGGAGAAACTCTGGAGCTTGAGTCACACCACAGAGTTGTTCCATTAGAGGCAATGGAATGTGCTTTTTTCCTAATCATCACCATCAATCCCCATAGTGTTGTGTTTGTACAGTGAGGGGGCAGTATAACCCCCAGGCATCACTGGGGAGAGTGCTTCCCACTGGAGGTCTCCAGAGAAGTGAGCAGCTCTGAGTCCTTAGCAGCCAGGGTATGGGCACCACCAGGGTATGGGTTCTACACACCCCAGTGTCTAGAACATATCCTACCACATCATAGGCAATAAATGCAAAGGAATAAATTATGTGACATTTCCTTCGTCTCTCTATTGCTCCTTTTTGCCAGGTTTGATTTTTAGTGGATTTGATCCCTTCATCTTCCCAAGTTTTTAAGTCTGCCAATTTTCTTCATTTTTTTCTAACCTCTAACCACTGTACAGGGTTTCCAAACTTGGATAAGTCTTTTTCTTATTTCCTATATTTTGTTAAGGACTAGACAAACATGGCCATGACCATTAAAATTGCTTCAGTTTAGTTTTTAAAGGTCTAACAGCACCCCAGTTACAATGTATGCATCTTCTCAAATCAAGTAGAGTTTGTGGGGACAAGATTTCTGTTATTATGGGTCAATTTAATTTTTAAATTATTTATCTATAACAATTTGTTCCAGAAAACCTATGTGTATTTGGGGGTCTATCCTAAGATATCTGGCTGCTGTCTATCATTTTTGAGACACATTTCCTTATCCATAGATTCACTCAACTACAGATCAAAACTATTCAGGAAAATCATCTGTGTAAGTTATATGCATATCATGCCATTTTGTATAAAGGACTTCACAGATGTGGGTATTGGAAGGAGGTCCTGGAACCACCATCCTCCTATAACTGAAGAATAACTGAATATGCACTTTTCAGTTTTAGGGTCCTTTGTCTATAGCACTTAGCTGCCACCTGCTCAGATGAATGACCAAAAACAACTTCCTTACTAGACAGTTAGAACCATGTGGAGGGAGGGAGTTATCCCCACAAGAAAGTTCCCTTTTGATCAAGAGGTTGGGACCCTGAGTTTATTTTTCAAGGAAGTTTTCTCTCCAGAAAAAATGAAACCCAGTCAAACTCAGCCTAGTTAAGAGCCTTCAGGATAAGGATTGATCTTGTTCATCTTTACTTAAAAACTAATCGTACTTCATATTCAACTATTTAAAAGTGCTTTCTTATTTGATCTTCACAACGATCCAGTGGAAGAAAAGAATCATTGTTCTCATTTTGCCCATAAGGAAACTGGGACATCAGGAAATCAAGTGACTCACCTTCAACTTCACATAGTTATTATATGGTAGAGTCATGATTCGAACTCAGGATTTCTGAAGCTAAATATAAAATTCTCTTCAGAGCACCCTGCTGTGTAACAAAGTCTAGCATGCCAGAAGCCCTCATTAGCTTGTTGTTGAGTTGAGTTACCTATGGAGCCATCTTTTTCTTCTCCTTCTCCTTCTCCTTCTTTTCCTTCTTCTCCTCTACCAGGTCCTCCTCTTCCTCCTCCTCCTCTTCCTCCTTCTTCTTTCATGGTGCCTATTTATTTAGTTATTTATTTATTCTTAAATTAGTGCATGTTTGCACCATATAATAATTACATTCATTGTGGGTAGTTGGTACATATACATGAAACATTTGAATTCTTTTTAGGTTCCCCCCCTC